TTAGAGAAACAAAATTCATATTTCATAATATCAAAATATCACTTAAGTCTTTATGGAAGTGCTGCAAAGTAAGCTACTACGAAAACAATTTTTTATAGTTTTTCAGTTTTGACGAATCCAATTTTCGAGCCATTAAAAAAAACAAAACAAATAAAGTAGGATAGACCATCCCACCATGAGATCAGCGCTGTCCTTGGATGATAGGACTGTTGCTCACGAAGACACCCACTCTGGAGTGAAATGCCATCACGATATTGCTCTACTGGTAACTTTCCTAGCTTTTTAACACTAACATTAATTTACATGTTCAAATCCGCAACGAACGTATATTTGGACGTTAACATAACATTAATTTGAAAGTGTTTTTGGACGTTTTGTTTAATCTGTTTTGAAATGATGTAACGAGAAAGTTGCAAGTGTGGAGCACTTAACACAAGAAAATATTTAGAAGAAGGAGATTCCAAAAAAATTACTGGGGACAAAAAGACATTTCACAAAACTTTTACAAGAGAAGAATATTTCGTGAAAACTGCTAATTAAAGAGCAGGAGACTGCAAAACGTATATTTCGGAAGGAAAAAAAACTTCACAAAGCGTTACTAACACTAGAAAAAACATTGGATATGATAATGTAAGAATCGAGCTGAATATTGAACGTCATCGAGTATTGAGTTCTACAAAAACAACAGCTCATGCACTTTTAAACTCATGATTCCCAGTTTTACCATGAAAAAAATCCAGGTTTCTAGCATATTTTTATTACAATGATTACCTATATGGTTCACAATTTCTTTGTTAACAGCGAATCAAAACTACTTTAATAACATGAATAACAGTTTCAATTGATTATGGATAAAGTATATGCAGAAAATCATTAGCTTTGGTTTGTTATACTATTATCTAATAGTTATTTTTACAATTTCAACATTGAAAGATGATATTGTAGTAACTCAATCAGACGCTACACTAAAAATCATGACGAAATTATCATTTAAAGGACCTCTTGAAAACGAGCGTTTTCAGGGTTTGTATTTTCGTGACCCTGCTATATATATATAAGTTGTTTGAAAAGAACTTTAGTCATTTTTAAGAAGATTAATACTACAGAAATTTATTTACAGAAATATTAAATACAAGTCTAAAGAGGTTATGTTGTCATTGTAGGACATTGATTAGGCCACATTTGGAGTATTGTGTTCAATCTTGGGCTCCTTACCTCAGAAAGGAGATTGAATTATTGGAAAGGGTTCAGAGGAAGGCTACTAGGATGTTACCTAGGGTGGAAATGTTATCCGTGAGGATAGATTAAGGTCCCTGAACTTGTTTTTTTTTCTTTTTGTAAAAAGAAGAA